GGGGCGGCTGGGCCAAGGGGCGTTCCCCCAAAAGCGCCGGCCCGGCACAGCCTCACAGGGCAGGAGCCGGCTGCTTTCCCTGATAAAACTCCTCCCAGCGGCTCTCGAAGAAGCGGCGCATGGTGCGCCCGGCGCGGCCCACCTCCGACTCATCCTCGTTGAAAGTCTGGCAGTTGTCGAACACCAGCAGTGCATCGGCCAAGAACTCCTCCGAGCTCATGTACCTGGGAGGGGTGGGAGGGGGGTGGTTAGAGGGAGCTGCCTCCGAGCCCCTGACCCCCATCCCTTCCTCCCTGGTGCCCCCTTGCCCCTGGGACCTCAGCCCTGGGCAGCCCAGTTCTGCCCCACTGCTCCTGCCCCGCGAGCAGATGCTTTGCCCCGAGCTCACCCGCCTCGAAGCAGCCGCGTGCGCATGGTGGCGAAGTCCATGGGGTTCTTGATGATCTTGCGGTAGCCGGGCACCAGGCGGGGGTTGACGGGCTCCAGGAAGGGCCAGGCATCCTCATGGGCCTCCATCTCCATCAGGATGATCCTAGGGGGCAAGGCCAAGGCTCAGAGGCAGGGCCAAGGCTCAAGGGGGCAGGGCCAGAGACCCAAGATATTACCTATGGATGGGGGCACCAGTCCAGAGAAGGTCCCTTGCTCCCACCCATGTTGCTCCCTCCCTGCATCGGGGGCAGGTTCCCCCCATACAGGGGATCCCGCCTGCAGCCCCCCGCACTCACTCGCAGAAGGTCAGGTCGTTGCTCTGGCCCCGTGGAGACACTCTCCTCCGCTTGGCAGGCGACAGCCCCTCTCCGGAGTAGCGGGGCACGGCCGGGGGGTCGCGGCACGGCCCTGCCCGGCGCCGAGGGCTCTCATCCTCCTCTGCGAAGCCCCCCCCAAAGAGTCGCCCCCGTTTCCGCTTCTTGCCCCGCCATGGGGAGCCGGGCTCTGGTGGGTATTCGCCTGAGGCCTGCAGGTGCAGTGGGACAGTGTCATGGCCCCACGCTCCTTTCGCCCCAATCCACAGGGGCTGGGGAAACCAGAGGGGGGCCAGGGTGGGCACTGGGGAGGGATGGGGCCATACCTGGGCCAAGCAGATGGAGCAGAACCAGTCGCCCTCAGGCACAGCTGCCATCTTGGGCCGGTGGCAGTAGAGGTGGCAGCCGCGGTCGCAGCCATCGCACAGCAGAAGGTGCTCGTCATCATCCCCTCGCCGGCAAACGAGGCAGGTCTGTGGGGCGGGGGCCAGGCCAGCTCAGGATTTTAGATCTTGGAGCTTCCCCGGACCCTGGTGCCTCCTCCCAGCTCCCCCCGACTCACCACTTTGTTGACGGACTTCTCCCAGGCAATGGACTTCTCCAGCTGGCAGATGCAGAGTGAAACTTGGGCTGCACTCCGACACCGCTCCAGTGTCTGGCGCCATGTCCGCATGCGGGGCGTGATCTCGTACGTGCTGCAGGGAGGGGTTGTAAGACTCAGAGGTGCTGGGGGGCGGGGGGCAGGGGGCTGCTCTCACACTTGTGAACCCGTCCCCAACCCCTTGCAGAAGGCAGCTGCTGCCCAGTTCGTGCAGAGGGAGAAACTGAAGCACACCATGGGGAGAGAGACCTCAAGACACCCCAGTGGATACCCCTCCCCTTCGCAGCAAGGGGAGAAGAACCCAGGAGTCTGGCTATGGGCGGGGGGGGGCACTCACATCTCAGCGCCGCCCAGGTCAGAGCCTGAGGGGCCGCTGAGCAGCGCCTTCTCCAGCACCACGTCGTGGGGGGCCCAGAGTGGCTCCTTCAGGTAGCGCCGCTCCACGTTCTGCTCCAGGGCGCCGAGGCGCAGCACAGCCAGATCCAGTGGGTTGGAGGCCTCGCGCCGTGGCACCGGTCCCTCCCGCCGGCCCCGGCCCCCCAGCTCCTCCAGTGCCTCTGTCTTGTGCTCGCAGTACTGCAGGTCACCCCGCACGGAGTCCGGGCTCGGGCACATCCAGCCCTGGTGGGGGGCAGGGTCTTAGCTGAGGGGCTGCCACCACAGGCTTCAGAGTCCCCACAAGCCAGCTCTGGGTTGCACCCAGCTCTAGGGTGATGCAGAGACACCGCCCCCCCCACCCGCCTGATGGAGTGGAGAGGGGGCCTGCTGCTGGTGCCTGGAGACCTCCCCTGGTTCTGGAGCCTCCCCCGCCCCAGTTTCCCCTGGGGAAACCTCTCCCCTGGCTCCAGGGACCCCATTCCCTTGGCCTGGCTCCAGGGAACACTCCCCTCACCCCACTGCTGCAGCACCTACCCGGATCTGCAGGTCGGCCTGTAGCACCCGCTGCTCCAGCTCCTCCACCCGCCGCAGCACGTCCAGGTCTGCCTCAAAGGCCCGCTCCATTGCCGACCAGCCTGCCGGGGCCGCAGGGCTTGTGCCTGCCTGGAAGATGGGGTCTGGGCGGTGGAGAGGCGTGGGGGGGAGGGGAGGGAAGTC